TTAAAGCAGGAAAAAAATGTTAAATAAGTCATTACTTAAGAGTACATTTACTTATGCTAAAAAGTTGGGGAGCAAACCTTTTTCAGTAAAATCCATGCCAGCTTTGAGTCCAGGAGGGACTTTCAGTAAATCTGAGGAAATTAAAATTATGAATAACTGATATTTGTGGTGCTTATTTTCACGTTTTTGATTTCAAGACAGAATAAAATAAAAATGCATCACTGTTCTCAAAGTCAATTTCCTCCTCCTGTTCAGATCTTGTCTTGATTTGGTCCAGAGTGAGCTCCTCCATCCCTCCTGTGAAAAGACCACAAACGTTGGTTTAAAGACATGAAACAGAAATGCATCATTCCTTTTTTCTTATTAACGTGCTTCAAAGGATCCAGACTATGGAGGACCTAGAGAGTCACTGAAAAAGAAAAACAGCCATTTCAAATGTATAATTTAAATCATGCAATTTGAAATCTAATTTCATTAGCATTTTCAAATTCTACAGTTTAATCAAATAACATTTTTTACTTTATTGATCTCACAATGGAGAAAATAACTCTGCATTTAACCCATCCCCTTTGGGGATGCCCCTGCCACTGTGTGGCTCCCGGAGAACAATCTGGGGTTAAGGGCTCAGAGAGCCAGAATGGCAGTCTGTGGGAGTGGGTTTCGAACTCACAACCTCAGGATTCAAAGCCCTATGCCCTAACCACTAGGTCCCCACTCCCCTAAATTACATTTCAACGGGGAATTTTAATTTGCGATACCATAATCCATTATTAAATGCTGGAATTTGAAACAGTATTTTCAAATCCTATTTCTAAATGAAGATTTAAAAAACAATATGCATAAGTCTGATTATAAATAACTTTCCTAATCACACATTTTAAGAAGTATTTCTTCTTTTATTTTAATTTTGCTTCACCTTGCATTTTAAAATCCTTTTCTCCAATTGTATTTTTATTTATTTCCAACATTATGTTTATTTGCATTTTATATTTTCAATTACAAAAACAAGTGAGCATCCTCTCAAGCACTAATTTAAAGAAAAAATAATTAAAAAATATTCACCAACATAAATATACAAGGGATTTATGAATGTACAGAGTGTCTAATTGTACAACAAACAACACATAGCTCTTCTTATTCATCTTCCATTTATCTGTCCTTTCAGGAGAAAGTATGAAAGGTCCAATTACTTTCAAACTTGCCCTTTTTCCTTTTTAGTAGGTACATAATTATTTCTAGAGGAAGTACAGTAAACATCTTGTGTAACCCAATCCGTAAATTTTAAGGGTTTAGGATGCAGAACTAAAATTATAAAGGAGGGCTCCACTGTAAACGTTTTCTTTATGATCTATTTCAGTTTTGTTTATTCCAGCTAGGGCTGAAACAATTAACCGGATTCATCGTGATTAATCGATTATTGAATTAATAGTCAACTAATTTAGTAATCGTTAGCTGGAGTATAGAGATTCTAAAATATGCCTTTAGCTAACAGAGTGACACACTTAAAGCAGTCATTTTATTAAGATTGTACGAAACATAACCATTTAGAATTCAAAATCAAAAATAAATTATATTAAAAAAAATTCACCAATATGCTCCATCCAGAACTCCTCAAGTGGAATTTTTTTTTAGTTTCACCTGGTTTAATTTTGTAAAAAATTTTCTTTAAGGAACCTTTGGCTATCCGATTATTAATTGTTATATCAGAAAAAATAACTGACAGATTAATTGATTGGAAAAATAATCATTAGCTGCAGCCCCAATTGCAACCCAGAATTTCTTTTATTTCCCTGCATTCCCCAATGCAATGAAAAAATCAGATTTTTTCTTCTTCACATTTTGTACAAGTATCTGGGATGTTTGGATTATATTTCTGTAATTTCACAGGGGTGTCATAAACATGCATAAACCAATTGCATTGCAATAATCTCAAACTGGAATTAATAGTTTGCTTATTTGCTTTATGACAAATCAATTCCAATTCCTTTAGTGACAAATCTGTGTCCAAGTATATCTTCTATGCTTCTAATTTTAAGACGGAATTGTTGTAGGACCTTTATAACAGGAATTTATAAATTTCTGAGATTACTCCCTTTTTTAAGACATTCCCCTCTACTATCTAATCTAACTTAAAATTAGGTGGCTTTGATAAATTTTTAATGGCCTCACATAAAACTAATTCAGATCTAAATCCAAAACCCACTCCTGCTTAAAAAAAAAGACAAAAAGCGAGGACCAGAAAATGGCCAAGACACATCTTTCTCTTCCCCCACCTCTAGGGGAAGCACCGTCACAGAGAAATGTACCAATGCTCCCGATGACAAAAAAATTTAGACAATTTTAATGGACTTCTAAAGAGATTAGAGATGTTTAAAAACTTTAGATGAGACTACCAGCAAATGACAGCAGAGGATGCTATAACATTTCATATCTCACCAGGAAGGAAGGGATAGTTAGTGTTGCTTCCCCGAAGGCTTTCTGATGGAGGTCCAGGCTGACGCTGTAGTGACAGTGAGTTTTTGGCTGACAGACCAGTGTTTTCTAATAAAACCTAAAAATAAAGCATCCAAATTAGACTTAAAGCTATTGCAATAAGCAAAAAAAGACATAACTGAAAAAAGACATGGTACTCATGCAGACTTTTTAGATAAAAATTTCAGACTAACAAGCAACCTTTCTGGGGCTCCAATGTATAGGTTTTTAACAAAAAAGGTAAAATTGAGAAGATGATACCTCTGTGAAGTCCAGCAGCATCCCTGTGGTCGGATCTCTGACCACTGAGAGCCCAGAGTGAAGTGGAGATGGATTGCTGCTAAGTAAGGAGTCGACATCAACCTTCCTTTCAGTCACTCTGGAGTCGACAACAAAAATATCAAGTTTTCTTCAACATGTAATCTACTAAATTTGACAGTAATCACACAATCTGATCTTAGTTCTTTTGTTTATGAAATTATACATTCTATGTGAACTTAATGCCCTTTTAAAAAAGGTGAAGAATGTGAAGAGTACTTGAGAAACTTCTGAAAGGCAAAGTCTGTGTCATGGATGGGCAGCCAGGCTGGGTCTTGCAAAAACTGTTTCTCCACTTCTCTCTCTAGGCTCAGGTTGGTGGGAGGAAGCCCATGAGGAAGCTGTGGAGGACATGATAGGATGGGAAATTAAGCCCTGATTTTTCTATTTTTTAATCAATACAAATGCATCTGGAGGAAAGAGGGTGACATCTGCCAAACAAAATACTAATTAAAAAGCAGTACATTAGACAGACTACTTCTTGCTATGTTTATTAGGGAATTAAATTCTAAAAAGAATTATGACAACCAGAAACAAATCAGTAAAATTTATTTTGGATTATAGAATAGAATAGAATTCAACTTTATTGTCATTCCACTGTCACAAGTACAGAGCAACGAAATGAATTCTCTGCAATTAACCCATCCCCTTGGGGGAGCAGTGGGCTGCAATTGTGCGGCCCCGAATCAGTGATATTGTATGAAGTCACAAATCATGTTACGGTAAGTTTTTTGCATGTTTTTATCATGCAACAAACCTTTCTTTTGAGAATAGCAGGGGTGGGAATTTTTGTAATGGATGATTAAGGAAAATTGTTAATGACAACAATACAAACAAAGAACAATACAGAAGAGGATTAGGGCTACTGAAAAAACAAAAAAAGTTAACTGATTTTTAAATTTCATTTCAGTATAATATGAGAAAAAAAGTCACAATTCTGACTTTAATCTCAGAATTCTGACTTTTTTTCTCAGAATTCTGACTTTTTTTCTCAGAATTCTGACTTTTTTTCTCAGAATTCTGACTTTTTTTCTCAGAATTCTGGTTTTAATGTCAGAATTTTGGATCTTAGTGTAGATGGGCACCATGAAAGAAGAGATGTGGGAGCATTCAGCTTCATTGACAAAGATATGAGTTGTTTGGGAGGGCCGGTAACACATTGGTAAAAAATGATGAAATTAGGCAACTTTTTAAGTGCCAGAGGACTCCCTGGTGATGCTATTTCATTAATGGAAGAGCAGAAGGTCATTAAAACAAGATAACTAGTTTAGTCTCTAAAACAGGCATGGCTACAGCTTGATGCTGACATGTTTGTTAGCTGTCAGAATTCAGTCAGAATTCCGAGGAAAAAAGTCAGAATTCAGAGATGAAACTCAGAATACTGACTTTTCCCCCACATTAAACTGAAATAAGAATTAATAATCAGTTAACTTTTTTTATTTTTTCATTGGCCTAAATCCTCTTCCGTAGAAACAATGTGTGTTTTGTTAGACTGCAGTATTTTTTACCAAGCTAAAGGTATAAACAGTAGAGCTGCTCCTTACTGACCGTGCTCTGGGGGGCCAGTGGCTGACCAGGGAGCGGGTGTGTTATCAGCTCACATCTGCCTGAGCATCCCATCTCCAGCAGGGACAGCGGCAGGTCCATGGGACCCAAAGGGGGGACATCTGCAAAAACAAAACAAAACACTAAGAGTATATTTTAACATCACTGCTAAATAATATTGTCTTACAAATAACCATGCAATAAGGGAACACTAAAGGGCTCGTTTTACAAGCAGTAAAGTTGATTCTGATTATCATAATCTGGTGTTGTCTGAAGCAGTGATTTAAGTGAAAAACTTTACTAGCTACGCAAACAATTGTAATTCAACATCCTTTAAACAATATGCTTAACTTCAAATAGCACCCAACGTACGTATTCTGTCCATTATCTCTCATTTATAGACTGAAACCTGTAGCACCATGTAGCTTCCTCGGTGCGCTGCTGTCGCTGCGGAAGTTGTGCAAATCTACAAAGCGGAAGTAGCTAACCGATTTAGCTAACGTGATGGAATAAATGGCTAAATAATTTTTTTAATAAAATATACAATAAATTCGTTATACGTACTGAATGTATGGACAAATTTTGTGTTATAGTCTTTATTTATCCATTTTGTTTTCATTTTTTTAAATAAAGAATTTGCCTACGTCATAATCTAGCGTCGGTGTTGTCTCGCTTGACTTGAAGAGGTGATGAGTAAATAGCTATAGCTGTTTTAGACAAAACTTCATATTTTGGCCTCCATCAGTAAATATATATATATATACTGTTTGGTGTTTCGTTTTCTATTTGCAGTCTCTGTAAATCGGCTAATCTGTTGTAATTAGTTGTAAATGTAAACGGCTAACAGTGCAGAGAAATAAACATTCTGTTATTTATTTAATTTTTTTTACCTTATTAGTTGTGCGGCTGTTGCAGTCATGGTGCTGTTTCCCAACTCACTGACGGAGGAAGAGGAGGCTCTACAGAAGAAGTATGCGAAACTAAAGAAAAAGGTAACCTGGTCGTGGTTTATTTTATGTCATGATGATCTGTTAGCACGATAAGTGTTGATTAAAGACACAGGTGTGTATTTAATTTTGCTGCAGTGAATAAAATCATTGATAAATGCTGTATAAGATTCTAAATCAGTATAAGTAGAATAATCCTCTGACCTCTGTAGGGAGAGTGTAGTGTAAAAGTTTTAAAATGTGTTATATTTGACACTTCCTAAAGGGGTCAATTGTTTCCCCACCATTCAACAGCTACTAATTTGTACTGTATTCTTTCATTTTAGAAAAAGGCACTTCTTGCTTTGAAGAAGCAAAGTTCAACTAACCAAACAAACCAGAGCGGCTTGAAACGAAGTAAGTAAAGTCGTTTGAATGGAGTTTCCTTAATTAATACATATGATAATAATAATGAGAAAAGAAATGCTACATCTGTAAATATTTGCAAAAAAAATGTATTCAATGTTGTTTTTAGAGAAAATATTTTAATTATGAATGTATATTATTTTCACAAGCTTTTGAACTGATTAGATGGCTGTTGTTTTGTATCATTACGATTTTGTCGTTGTTTGTCATGTCCTTTTAAGAAGACATTCAAGACGTTTGTTGCATCTTATATTCTTTGAGATTCATCACAGTTAGCAAAACCGATAAAAGGCATTTTTTTTCAACCTTTTAGTAGAAATAGTTTGAACTGCAATGATAGTTGTATTTGTCAGACCATGCAATATTACAAAAATAATTTTATCCACACTAAGTAGGGACCTAAATACACTTAAAAAAATATCTAAGAGTCAACACAGTTTTAAACTCTGACTGACTCTACTGTAATTAACCTACTTTGTGATTCAAATTAAAGATAGAATTGACTAATGGGAAAGAAAAAAAAATACATTTCTGTCAAACTGTTTAATTACAATTTCTAATAATTCTAGAATTATCCAGCTACTTCTGTAGTGTACAATTTACACCGGATCCAGAGCATAATTGATAATAAAAGTGCGCCTGAATCTAGATGTTGATTTTTCAGTCTTGTATAGTTTTGGCAGGTGCATAAAGAATGCATTGCTTCACCCTATTATGCATAATAAAGGAGGAGAGTTCCCCTGACACTGTGTTTAGTGCAAGACACCATGATGGGATGATGGAATGTTATAGCAGTAGCATATCTGCTAATCCAGTTTGAAGGGGAACTAATCAGCCTTAAACACTTACTTAACCACTTTGTCAAATAATTTACTTTTATCTCTAAATTATTTACATAAATATACCACAAAAAATCAATCATTTCATTGATTGTATGATCATTAATTTTCATAGATATAAAACAAAGAAAATACACAAATATTTGTTTAATCATTCAATTTAAACAGTTATTCAATTTTTATTTTATTTGCTGCCTTATTTTTTTATTTCTTTTTACAGCGCTGTCAGATCAACCTGTTGTTGATACAGCAACAGCAACAGAGCAAGCTAAAATGCTCATCAAGTCAGGAGCCATCAGTGCCATCAAGTCAGAGACCAAGAACTCCGGCTTCAAACGTTCTCGAATGCTAGAGATCAAACTTAAGGTAGTGTGTCATTAAATTCAGTGTAGTGAAGTGTTCTCGCCTTACAAATTTCTTCTATCAATGTCCTTTTTTGTAGCACTTTTAGATCATCAAAAAAAATAGACCAAAGTAACCTCTGTAAAAGGAAAATATGCATTTCAAATAAAAAGTTTTGTTTTGTTTTTTTTTTACCATCCAAACCAAAATTTGCCAAGTGGAACAATGTAAATGTATATAAAAACCCGAATAGTATAATCAAGAATAATTTTGCTTCATAAGGCAAAGGATTGTACAACACTCAATAGTAGTTGCTGTTTAGGGCGGAAAAAACCTTAAATCTGTTAGGGTTAATAGTTTATCACTGCCTAAATAATAAATGAGCCATCATGTGTATCATATTCTTGTCATCAGCTAATTGATTGGTTTTGATTAAGGTGATATTATATGGAAAGTACCCAGTTCAAATCCCAGTGCCTGTTGGTCCCTGAGCAAGGCCCTTAGCTCCAGATTGCTCCCTAAGAAATTGGGTTAAATACAGAAGTCAAATGTTATTGTCATGTAAAGTTGATTATCATCATTATATCCCACATTACTGTTATTTCTGGTTGGCTTTTTATTTTTTCTCATTTTGATTTTATTTTTAAACTTCATCAGGATCCAGAAAAAGGCCCAGCTCCAGCTTTCTTACCCTTCCAGAGGAGTTTCTCTACAGATGATGATCAACCTGAGGTATAAACAGAATATTATCCATTTGTTTTGTTTAACCGTTGTTCTGTAATCTTTATAGGGCTTTCTCTCAAGGGTTTATATTTTTAGAGGAATTATATGCTCTCTTTTCTGAAGTTTCTTTGTGTCATTTGTTCTAGTCTGGAAAGAGAGCCCAAAGGAAGTCTCTGTATGAGAGGTAATGATCCAAACCACTATATACAGTTAATTTAGCATCCAAGTGTCCCCTATGGTTCTAACAGTACATCTTAATGCATCCCTGCAGTTTTGTAAGTTCAAGCGACCGATACCGGGATGAAGATGAAGGAGGAAGCATGTCATCCAGCCATGATATGGACCGAGAGAGAGAAAGAGACATGGACAGGGAGTGGGAGAGAGACAGAGACAGGGATCGGGATCGTGATCGAGACCGGGAAAGAGGTCGAGAAAGAGATAGGGACAGGGAAAGAGAAAGACACAGAGATCGAAGCAGAGAAAGAGATAGAGACCAGGAGAGGGATCGGGAAAGAGAAAGAGACATCCCTTTCAGAAGTAAGTTGCCTTTCAAGGCTGTTGAATGGTTTACATTCTAGTGTCTTAGCATCTTAGGCAAGGTGTGTATAATTTTAGAGCACAATTCTTTATAGAACCTATTTAAAGTGCTTTACATGAAATAAAACCCGCTTTATTTGAGGTATGTCTCCTTTATGAACTTTATGAACTCAATGTATGGTTCTTATTCACTGAATGGCACCTTTTTTTTAACTCTTAGGATCAGACTCGTACCCAGAGCGCAGAGGTTTGCGGAAGGGAAACACTGTCTATGTTTATGGCTCTGGTCTGGTGGAGGACAGCCTGCGCTCTGCCTTCTCCCAGCATGGGAACATCATTGACCTCTCTATGGACAACCCACGCAAGTATGTAAACTATTAAACTATTGATTTTCACCTAATATTCTTCAAACTTGTTTATCATCATTACTTAGTCATAGACTCGTTTGTGTTTTTTTTTTCTTTTCTCTGTGTAGTTGTGCATTCATTACGTTTGAGAAGATGGAGTCTGCAGACCAGGCTGTAACTGAGGTTGGTATGGTCATATTTTGATAGGTTTTTGTAGCCTTTAGCTGATTTTCCACTTATTCTCAGTCCATCTCCTAATTGGTTTAAAAGGACACTTGTGTTTTAGGCGACTGTGTTTTGTGAAACTTTCATACAAAAAAAGGTTCTTAAACATTAGAGCTGTTATATCTGGATTTGCATTTTTAGTCTTTTATTATTAGCAGGTTTTACAAAGGCATAATTTTTCAAAGTTCCTTATCTGAAAATACTTAAAATAGATATAACAATGGGACTTTGAGACTTTTAATCTTTGTCTCCAGTTTAACTGTTTTCTATCTCTCTGTCAGTTTTGCCTCTTTTAGAAACCCCCACGTTACCTTTATCCTTTTGTTTTTTCTCCAATAGCTGAATGGAGCCATGGTGGGAGACGTTCACATTAAAGTCAGCATCGCCAGGAAGCAGCCTATGCTGGATGCCGCCACCGGCAAATCGGTTTGGGCCTCCCTTGGTAAGCCCAGATCTGATCTCGTTGTTCATTTGGACATCAACCGCACAGAGCTTGTTTCTGAAGATTTACCATCTTTTCTCTATGTATTTATGTTTACAGCTGTGCAGAACAGCACCAAAGGCTCCTACAGGGATAAGAGAAACCAAGTGGTCTACAATGAAGACTTCCTGGGATAAAAGAAGTTTTGGTTTTCCTATTGCAGTCCAATTAGCCTGTCTTATGGGATTGTTACAATATTTTCGCTTGTCTTTTTGAGATTCTCTTGTGGATTAAGATGTTTTGTTCTAGTTGATTGTAATAAATCATGTTGTCACTCAATGACTGCGGCATACTCTATGGTTTCTGCTTGGTTATTTTTTCTTTTCAGAGCATTTATTAAAGTGAAAATACAATACAATGATGGCCTTATAGGTATTTGTAACATGCCGAGATGATTAGATGGATGAATGAGTGGATCAAACTTTTTGAGATTAGGATTAAAGTCTGTGAAGATGTTTTCTTTCTTTGTTAATATTTTTTAAACCTGCCAAGATAACAGCTGAAATTTTAAAGATAAGTTTGTCTGCTTTATGTTTTATTACGGTAGTTAAAATGCAGCAACTTTAGGCAACCAAGGATTCTTACACAGCATGAAAGTGATGAAGGGATATCTACATTTCTTTGTCTAAAAAACTTACCTATTAATCTGTTCTTCTATTTAAAGATATGCTTATCTATCCATATATGAATTCATCAATTGTTTTTTCATAATCCATTCAGCAATCTACAGTATTCATGCCACCATATATTCTTTGATTTATTCCTCTATCTATTCATGTTTATTCATCTATCCTAAGTCAATCTGATACCTATTTTTCACCCCTCACCCAACCATCTATGCTGTTTCTTCATTATCATTCTACCTATTTTTAGATCTTTTATAGCATTTTTCCAGTCTTCCATCTCTTTCATATTTATTTTTTAGTTAAAAGCCTGGGTGTAAAAGTACAAGGGTCATATTCCATATAGGGTAGCGTTTATTTTTCAATAAATCTACTTAAAAAAATAAAATAAAAATATAATGAAAAAAGGTTTGAAATTTGACACAAACATGCTTTGGTGGACAATAATGGGCATTATTATTATTTTTTTAAGATGTTTTTAAGGAAACTAGAGCTTTATTCTTAAGTTTCATAAAATCTTTTCCTATTATTACTTTCTTTCGATTATCCACTGCAGTAGTGGGAATCACCCTGAGCAGCCATTCTTTCTTGATTATGCCGTTGTCAGAGTTTTTCTGAAGTTTGTAAAGCTGATATACATGAGACTGGCTGCACTGCAGGTGGAGATGGGAAAATACAGAACCTGAATATGCCCCTCCAAACACAGTCAGACAGCAGCTAAGAAAGATTTTGACGAGAACATTTTGTGGTCCAGTTTAAAAATGTCACACAAGAAAAAATCACACAAGTAAAAATATATAAATGGGTTAAAATGTGACAGGAGCAAGTATGGAAAGCCAAATGAGCTGCATATTTCATAAATTAAAAACTGGAAAGATCTCTAATCGTACATTAATTTAATTATAATTATAATAAAAAAAACTATTAAATATTACTTAAGATCCATGCATTAAATAAATATAGTTTTTTTATCCTTAATGCAAAAACAATTTAATAGTTCTTACTTATTTAATTAACCATTAAATATGTATCTAAGTTTCTAACAACAAAGAACTAGAAGAACATTTGGCATTTTTCAAAACGGGTGCAGTTTTAAAATGCTTAAAGAGAAGAGATGGACTCCTGATGTCCAAAGAGATGAGGCAGGTCTTGTATAAAATATAAGGAAAGGAGGTAGTTGAAATAGAAGTTTTTATCTTTAAAGACAATGAAAACATGAAAAATATTGTTAGAAACATCTGCAAAGAGATTGAAAATGAGTTAGGTTCAGGTTAAGCTTTATATGAGGCCATGATATGTGCTGTTTGCCCTCTTCAGGGTGCTATTATAAAATATTTAAAAATGATCTTCCCAAAAAGAAAACAAAATTAAAACGTTCTTCTCAGCTCTTGCAAAACCTCTTAGGAACCTGTTTTAAAAGCAGGGAGGGTCTGGCATGCATGTTCATCTCCTCTTCCATTCAGTGTGGAGGGTTTCTGCATGCAGAACAGTCCCTCCAAGAACCTTCATGTGTCTAAGACAAAAACTTGTGTTGAATAAGAAAGCTGCATGTGATCCCAGCCAGGTAGACACAGATAAACATATATGACACAGTTTAGTTGCTCAAATATACACATTCATAATAAATGGTCTAATTTATTATTAAAAAGTTCAGTTATTTTCAGTAGATTTGTTCAGTTAAAAACATTATAAATCAATTAAACACAGACTTGTGTTTTTACACTTTTAATGTCATGTTTTCTGTCCAATGCTAATAAAGACAACACTTAAGGTTAGAATATAAGATTAGAGTAATTAAAACCTTTTTAGTAGAGAAATGTTGGAACAACTGCTTAGAAAAAACATCTTATATGACCCTACCTTTCAAAAATTATCTAAAAGGTAATTCTGACAGCAGAAAAGGCTTTAAAAAAACCCCAAATAAATCAAGTTGAATAAGAATGCACTGATTTATTGAGCAGATCTGGCAACCCACTTGTGGGTGACACTTAGGGGTCCATCATTATTGGACCCCTAAGTGGAGAAGTCCTCACCTGGGGCGCTCATTGCGACTATTAGCTCAAAGTAAGCTAAATTATTTAATGGAAAAATCTCATTGGTGAGAATTTACTTATATTTATTGTTTTTAGGTTGTTTTGTTTAATATCAAAACATCCTATTCCGATTCGGGCCTGGTATCTGAGTTCGGTAGCGCTTTAGCGTCGCCATTTTTGGCTCCTCCTGCAGTTTTCCGTCCTCTTGTCTCCAGCTGACGCATAGAAAACACTGACGCTTTTTCACGGAGGTTAAAACTAAACATTTCTTCTGCGTATTTAAATGTGCCGTGCTATTTAAATAAAACGCTGGAAAGTTTAAATTCCATTTCGCTATTTCTAGGCCGCTTTTCTGCATGATTAAACCAATTTCTGACTATTTCTTCCTTCTTTTGACAACCCTTAAGATAAGTTTTAACAGTTCAGATCAGATTAAAAAGCCTTTTATTGGTGTTTGGTTCTGTTAAACCTCGGAAAAAGTTAGAAAAGTATATTTCAGATTGGGTTTTGGCGGATCAATTACTCTTAAGCGGAAAGTTTCCTCTAGGCAGCGCGCCAAAGCGCGGCGCACTGACCTCTATGCTCACAGCTCCTCAAAGGAGCAGGGACGTCTGCAAAATGATTAAAGGGATTTCACTTTAAATAAGTTTTACAATTGAAATACAAAAATACCAACATTTTTTAAAGGCTTTAAAATAAGCTTAATACAAGAAAAAAATCAGGACTCTAATATATTGTTGAGCTAAAACTACAACTCCTTATTTGGGAAAATCTTCCACAGGTAGGCTATTACAGATATCCTCATGGTGTAGGATGGCAGCCAGCAGGCTTTATCTTATAAGGTGCCCCCAGGGACATAAATCAGA